GTGTGTGTGTGTGTGTGTGTGTGTGTGTGTGTGTGTGTGTGTGTGTGTGTGTGTGCGCCTGCCATGAGGCTGATCTTCAGAGCAGGAAACCACAAGGTCACATCTCTGCAGCCTTTAAAAACCAAAATTATCAGGAGCAGACCTCCCCTTGGAAGTTAGGGTGGGGCAGTAGAAGCATGCATTCATCCTCCCAACTCCTCTCTCCCCTCTTCTGTTGCTGGTTTTTGGTTGAGTTTGTTTTTTTTTTTAAACATAATTGCATCTGCATTATCCTCAGAAAATCTGATGGTCATGTTCTTAAGGGTGAGCATAATTCTTCGAGCAAGTACATGAGGATGATACCACTCCCCGTCTAACCCATGTAGACACAAGACCCAACAAGACATTTTAAAAACCATAACATTTACTAGCCCCAAACTCAAGGACCATATTGCAGCAATTGGAGAAAGAGAAAGGCCAGTACTAGCATTGCTGACAATCATTTAATGATAGCTTACATTTATACAGCACCTACTATGTGGCAGGCACTGAGCTAAGCACTTTACAAATATTATCTCATTTGATCCTCAACCCTGAGAGGTAGATGTTTTTATTATACCCATTTTACTAATGGGGAAACTGAGGCAAACAGAGGTTAAGTGACTTGCCCTAGGGTCATACAGCTGGTAAGTGTCTGAGGCCAGATCTGAGCTCAGGTCTTCCTGACTCCAAGCCAGGCACTCTATCCACTGTGCCACCTAGCTGCCCTAGATGGTGATGTCTGCCTCTCATATGGAATAAGAAGAAAGAATGAGTAAGGAGCAGGTGGATAGAATGAGGAAAGCAGAGAGCTTTCCAGTTTTTCTCAAGGCTGGTTTTCACAATATAACTTCAACATTTACTTTAAATGGTATGGTATCCCCAGAGTATTATACATGCACATATTAAAATACAAAGACCTATTCATGAGATCATAAGATCATAGAATGTAGAAATGGAAGAGATTATGGAGACCATAAATTTCAAGACCCTGATTTTACAGATGAGGAAACTGGGAACAGAAGAAGCGATGCGATTTACCAAAAGTCACACAACTATCATGAGGGGTAGGGGAAGAGGAAGGGAGGGAAGGGGAATAAGCATTTATTAAACTCCTATTATGTACCAGGCACTCTGCTAAGCACTTCACAAATTTTATCCCATTTGATCCTCACAACAACCCTAAGAGGTAGGTGTTATTATTATCCCCATTTTACAGTTGAGAAAATTTAGGCAGACAGAAGTTAAGTGACTTACCCAGGATCACACAGCTAGTAAATTTCTAAGGCTAGCTTGGAACTCAGGTCTTCCTGACTCCAAGCCCAGCGTTCTCTTCACTGTAACATTAGCTGCTTCTATAGTAGACAGCTTGGATAGAATTTGAATACAGATCCTCTGATTCCCACTCCACTCTTTTGTCCTCTGCACTATGCTGCCTTTCAAAGGTCACTAGAAATGATTTTTTTTTTTGATCCAGTATTGTGGTTTAACTACTTCTCTATTCCGTTTTCCACCAATGGCAAATAATTGAAAAATTTTGCTTTGTAATTGTGTGTATGTACTTGTATATCTTGGGTTGTTAAATATCAGCCTCCATATTCTATTATATTACTAAATTTCATACTATATTATAGAACATACTATGAATCTTGAATCCTGGAATCCCTGCTGCTTCCAAAGCCAATTCAGAATAAGAATGTTTAGAAACAAATCACAATCACATTTGAGTGAGCAGGGAAAAGTTGTAGGGGAGAAGGAGAGAGGAACCCTACCCATAGAGCCAGAACCTTCACCCCACTCCTAAATGATATTCTCTCTGTCACACACACACACACACACACACATTTCATGGAAAATAAAGACTTGAATCCAGCTTTATGCATGTTCATGGAACTCAAACTCTCAGAGCCAACACGAGGTCCTTGATTACACTTTTCAGCTACTCACCTCCAAAAAAAAAAAAAAACCATACCTCAAAGACCATCTAGGCTAACCCATTTTACAGATGATGAAACTGAGTCTTAGAAAGGTTGAACTAAGCCTATGGTCACACAGTTGGTGAAGTGTCAGAAGCAGGATTTGAATCCAGGTCATCCTGACTCTAACTCCAGCTCTGTAACCATTGTGCAAGAATGCCCCCAGTATTTAAGGTATTTTCTGCTATTAAATGCTACCTCTGGGAAAGGTAATGAGATTGAGCTATTATCAATCACTCATACATTAGTATGAATTAGTTCACTGGACATTTTCCAAGAGACCTGGGGGGAGGGGTGTGAAATTTAATGAAGGACAGGGGAAAAAGGCCACGTGAGCACTGGCTGGGAGATGGAAATTTCAAAGGTAACTTTGGCCAATGGCCCAGCTCAGTCACAGACCAGCTCTGCAGTAAGGGAACCTGCATGAGAGATCCAGTTTGGCTCCCTTCACAGTGAAAACAGCCCCAAGCGTGGAGGTTTTAAATGAAAGTAGGTTCTTAGGAAGGATCAAGAACTACTTGGACGTCATCCTTTAACTCGAGCGTGTTAGCGCACTTCGAATCTTTTGTTCAGGTGGGCTATCCTCTCCTGCCTGCGTTCTCATTGTCAGGCTGCTGGGGCATCTGATACACCCAGCATCCTGAGCGCGCGCATTGGTCTGCCTTTTAGCCTTGTTATTTTTTTTCTCCTCTACTTCCTTTCGCCCTCCACGCGCTGGTCCAAGCTGCGGAGACTTCCTCCGTCTCTGATACTTGCCCAATCGCCGCTTGCTGATCTTTCTCTTTCTCTCTTTGTTTATGTCTGTACCTCTTTCTGTGTGTTCTGTAGAGGATGTAGCAAATTTAACAGCCAGTGATGTGATGAATCGTGTAAACCTTGGATATTTGCAAGGTAATTCTGCGCCCCCCAGAGAGTCGAGCCTGACTCAGAGCACACAAGCGTGATAGGAACATGCCAGCTCCCTCCACTGACCGGTGCCTCCCCAACCAGCCCCTCCCTTTCTGGTTGGGTTGGGCTACAGCAGAAGAAGATAGAGGCATTTGGGACCCTGAACTAAAGGGTACCCCTGAAAAGAAAATAATATTCAAATAAAGACCAGGGGCTGAGCTTGATACCCAAATCAGTGCTCTGGAAAGCAGGGGTTATTATCCCCATTTCATAATAAGGAAACTGAGGTACACAGAAGAGCGACTTACTCAGTGTCTTACAGCTAGTTCGAAGGGCTAGGGCAAAGTCAGAACTGGAACTCACGTCTTCTGACTCTCATTCCAGGGTTGCTTAAGCTTTCCCCTAAACCAAACTCTCTTAAAGGGGTCCTTTTCCAAAGATAATTCTAAAACTAAAACAAAAATCCCAGATGTAAGCACTGTGGTCCTTGGGCGGTAATAATAATGACCCTCAAGTCCTGCTCAATACTTCTGATGGAGCAGTGAGGGCATTCTCTTACCCTGGACTTATACTAGACAGAAGGGCAGACTCACTCACTTTGCGCTAAGACCAGTTCCGGGAAAGAACAATCAATGAAAATTCTCTTTGAAGAATGTTGTCCAATAGAGGCCCATGCTTGACCTTTTATAACCAATTAGCAAATTTGTGTATCAATTGTTGCTTTGGAAATGGGGGCTTCTGGTAGAAAATAGAACCCTGGAGAAGGAGTTGAGAGCCTGGGTTCCAGTCTCAGCCCTGACACTTAATAGCTAAGTGAACAAGGGCAACTCCATTTACACCTCTCTGAGCCTCAGTTTCCTCTATAAAATGATAATCTCCATCTATATGATAATTTCCATCTATAAAATAATAAGAATACTTATACTACCAACATCACAGGGTTGTTATGAGAAAAGCATTGTAGAAATCTGAAAGTGCCATAGCAATGTGACCTATTATTTTCATTACCTGAAATCAACTTTTATATCCTATATCATTTTTGCTATTAATTTATTTAAACAAATTTGCCATAGTTAGTAGCAAGGAAATTTCAGCCCAGCCTCCTCCAGAATTGTGCCATGTTCCAAATTCGTATCTGAGTTGGTTGAGCTTTCTATTCTAGATTGGGGCTTTTTTCCTTTTTTGTGTGTCCTGGATCCCTCTGACAGTCTGGTGAAGCCTATGGACTCCTTCACAGAATAATGTTTTAATTTCACTTACGTAATTACAAATTTGTATAATTGCAAATATAAGTAAATACAGCTACCAAAATTTTTTTTAAAAAGTTCATGTACTCCAGGTTAAGAATCCCTGTTAGATGTAATTCATTAATGTTAAACTTGGAATTCTAATCAAAAGGCTCCATCAATTCCAGCATCCCTTTAACAAGAATAACACTAGGCTTGGAAGGAGCTGAGAGTTGAAAGCCTTCTACTCATTTTCAGCTATCAGTCCTTCTATTTGGGGTAACTCAAGGGGAGAGGCTGCTCAGTAGGGTCTTTCCTCCCAGCAGTCACTACCTTCCTTTGTCACTAAAACAAAGGCCCCTGAAACTACCACATGCCTGACACACTCCTCAGCATTTCCAGAGGAGAGGACTTGGCTTTAAAACTTATCCAGAGCCAGAGGTTTAAGCTAAGTTTAAGTATTTCTCCTAGAATTGGAGGGAAATCCACTGCCCAGTAGTGGTTAGAAATACCCTAAACCAGGAGTTCTAAACCTTTTTTGTGTCCTCGACCCAATCTGGTAAATCTGGCAATCTGGTAAAACCTATGGACCCATTCTCAGAATAGTGTTTTTAATGCATAAAATGAAATACATAGGATTGCAAATGAAACTGATTATATTGAGATAAAGTTATTGAAATACTTTTTAAAATAAATTCATGGGTTCCAGGTTAAGAACTGCTGTCCTAGACTGAAAGGCAGCAAGGTTCTGGGGATGTTTATATTAGGCCTCTAGAGCTGCGGAGATCAGGATGGCCAGTCTAACCTCTTACAGTTTGAGGGAATTGAATGTGCTTGGGTTTATGGGTTCTAGCCCTGGCTAGAACACAGTGGATGGGAAAAGTTGGCATTTTCTTACGATCGTGTGCTTTTTCTTTTGTGCCCCCCACCTCCCTACAAAGACCTGGTTCCAGGAATGATTTTCATGGAAGGCCCATGCCTCTATAGTATACTGCTACTTTCTGGATGATGCTGGCCAAAGCTGAGATTCACTGTCTATCCATTTCCTCTTCAAGCCAACTTCTAAAAGCCCTTGGCTTGGGGACACCGATTCCTAAGGCTCAGGACTCTCTCCTTTTGTAGGCTGCTTCTCCATAGCCAATGATGAAGTCTGCCCTGGAAATGGTATCTTTGGTACCTACACTGGTCTGTCCTAAGGCCATACAGCCCCAGAACAGTGGCAGTATAGTGCATGGGTGAACGCTTGTCTACAATGCATGATGTCATTTGACAAAATGACTTCGCCATGAAATGGGGAGGCTCACCCACAGTGCCCCATACACCCCCCTCCCTATCATGCCACTGGCTGTACCCTGAGGATGACTGAGATTGAGCAGGTCCTATTTATCCTTCATCCCACCCTCCTGGTTCTCTGCTCCTCTTTCCCCATTCCTTCCTTACTGTAAGGCTCCTGGGCAGGATACTAGCAGTGCTGATGGGCAAGCACATCTCCAGCCCTGTGATATTCTTATGGACAGAACAGGAACATATGGTCATGCCAGGAGGAAAACTTGATTTTCTACCCTCAGTGCATTTGTTATCATCCCTCAGAGGATTCACTGAAAATATCCCAGAGATTATTAATACCAAGTAACAAATTCAATTAAATATTTCAATCTAATAAAACTTGGTTAAGTGTCCATTGTGGACAAGGCCCTGGGCCTCACTCTTGGCCTAAAAAGATAGATAAAGATCATGTTTTCATTGATCTTATAATCTAATTGCAGGGAAGACATTCACAGATCAATATGAAGGAGAGTGAGATACATACACTATAAAATGATTATAGCAAATATTTATTATGTACCTACTCTGCATTTGACCTTTTGGGGAAGACACAAATAAATAAGGTATAGTCCCTGCTTTCAGACCTCAAAGTTCAGAGACACAAGGCATATATACATAAAAAGAGAAATCGATGTAATCTGTACCCAAAGAGTAGAACATGGTGTTTTAGGAGTTTAAGAAGAGTCACTGGACTGAAGGGTTCAGGATAGATCGCACAAAAAGGTGAAATTTGAGGGGGACCTTGATGGATGGGTTAGATTTAGACAGGAAAGAGGAAAAGGCAGATTACTCTATAAGCCAATGATTCTCAAATTTTTTGGTCTTGGGTCTCCTTTACGCTCTTAAAAATTATTGAGGACCCCAAAGAGCTTTTGTTTACATGGGAGAAATTTAAAATGACAGATCTTTAAAGAGTTATTAAATCGTTTAAAATAATAGAAAGCCCATTACATGTTAATATAAATAACATATTAGTATGAAAAATAACTATTTTCCAAAACCAAAAAAAAAGGCAAGAAGAATGGCATTATTTTACGTATTTTTGCAAATCTCTATAATGTCTGGCTTAAAAGAAGACAGATTCTCCTGTCTGCTTCTGCATTCAGTGTGTTATATATGATATATTGTTTTGATTGAAGTATATGAAGAAAATCTGGCTTCACACAGATACACATTGGAAAAGGGAGGAATATTTAATAGGCAAATAACATCTTAATAGTATTATGGAAGTAGTTTCAACTTTAAGTATCCCCCGAAATAATCTTAGAAACCCCCAGAGGTCCTTGAACTTTGAGAACTGCTTCCATAAATGAAGGCATTTGAGGTGAGAATATACCTGGTATATTCAGAGGGAGGTGAATTTAGTACCATAGTTCTATGAATGAGATCATCCTTAGTCAGTGGAGAGATAATTAAACCAAGGAACAGAGCTCTGATCCTCCCCAGCCTTTTCCACCTAATCTTCCAACACACCAAAAACCCACACCTTGTATAATCAAGTGTCAGAAATCAGGGCTGATATTAGTTTGCCTACCAGAAAAATGCCTTTCTTTGCACAGGGAGATGGGCTTACACAGGTCTGTGTCACTATTTATGCTATGTCTTTAAATGGATCATGTGTCCAAGTAGGGCAATAGAAACATTTAGAAAGATGGACCTGAACAAAGAGAATTTAAAAGGACAAAAGGAAAAAGTGTTGGAGGAGAAGAAATTGATAAGTAAGATCACCTTCACAAAACTGGGCCTTGCCAGATCTCATTTACAAGTCACTAGGCACACTGGAGGTATTTAGCAAAAATCTGCTAAATTTAATTATACTTTTTTATTTTATTTAAAAGAACCTAATCCAAATGCTGATTGCCAGATTTTCAGTTTCCAAGCTTAAAAGCAAACACAGGGTAGTTAGAAGAAAGCAGTTTATAGTCTGGTGCCCTTCCTTCCTGCCCTCCAATGCTGGGTACTAGGGTTCCCGCTAAGAAGCCTTACAGAACATGACGATGCCCTGTCCTTCCCCACTCCTACCTGGCCTCACCTCTCCATCCATCCCTCCATCCTGTCCCTGACGCACCTTGCCCAGAACTGTCTCAAGCATTTGGAAAGCCATGTTGATGCATTTCTCCATGTAATGTAAGTTCTCCAGCTCCATGACCTGCTGACACATATACCCTTGCTGTCTGCTCTGTCCCTCATAGCTGAACAATGGCACAAGCCACCCCCAACATCCACATTTCTCTCCCTCACAGTTCAGGCGTTTTGCTATTGAGGTCAGTTGCATCCACATTGGCGGTTGTACCGGTGGCTTGAAATAAGGTGGCCCAGTGGAGAAGGTGAATTTTCTCCAATGCATTAGCAAGAAATAGGAAAAAATATATATATAAGCATGGTTTTAATAATATCAACTTAGATTTGTTTTACAGTTTATAAAACTTTACAGGTTATAAAATGTTTTACATTTTTAAAAGCACTTTCACATTCACCTCTTACAATAGCCATCTGAAGAACAGGGCAGGGATTGTTACCCTGCTTTGAAGAGGAGGAAAATGAGAATGCAGAAAGATGAAGAAACATGCTTGAAGTCACATGGTTAGTTAGGAGTAACATTTGGGTCTTTCTACTCTTCCATGTAGCCTGGAAGAACATCTTGCTCATTCACTAAGTAAAAACTCTGACTAGATTGCTTACTTTTAGCTGGGAACATTTCTTAGTTAGCTGCTGCCTTATAAGAATCCTAAGCCTTATTCAACCTCTGGATTCTCTATTTTGAAGAAACAGCTATCATTAAAATGGGAGAATCTGAGATTTGGCTATTTTATTTGACTTGGCCAGGTTTGTTTTTTTTGTTTGTTTTTTGTTTTCTCTCTTTTATTGGATATAGCTTTTTTGCCACTGAAGTAAATGCTGATGTGATTGTTTTCTCAAGGGCAAGGTAAGACTCTGACTATAGATATGAAGAATAAACAATCTGACTGAAAGAATAAGGTTGGTCACAGCTGCTAAGTTACTGAGTGTCTCCTAGGGCAAGGGGCTGTCCTACACTTTGTGCCTACATTACCAAGTTTTGCCAGGTTTGTTTTCTGTCAAAAATCAGCAACTTCTAGTAGGAGAAAGTTCATAATCAATTTCATTTTCAGATAGTTCTGTTAGAAAGTTTTCCTTTATTTGAAACATATATTTGACATCACAAGGACATCTTCAATGGGAACAAGAGGTGAACTAGCCATGTAGTGAGAACAAGGAATAACAGTAACCCGTATTGTGCCAACATCCCTGAAGACCTGGGGCAGGCCTGCACAACCTGCAGTCTGCTGGTCACTTACAGCCCTCGGGCTGCTTGTGGCACACCAAAGGATTGTGGGCAGCCAAGAAAAATGTATAGGAAAACATCCTTTGTATGTAGAGGAAATCCTTTGACATGCCACAAGCAGCCTTTGGGCTGTAAGCAGCCAGCAGACCTCAGGTTGTGCAGGCCTGACCTAGGAAAGACTTCCAGAGCATTGAGTGAATCCTCCTTGGAGGATTTATAGGAAAACATGGACAAGAATCACACAGAATTTGAAAATGTAGGTGGATATGACTCCATACTGAGGAGAAAGTATCAACACAAATGAGATCAAATTATTGAAGCATTTAATACATGCCACTGCCACTGACTCTTTCTTATAAACATATTGAATAACAGGACTTTTAAGAGTTGAGGAGACTACAAATGTTTAGCCTGGAAAAAAACTTCAGATACATATAAGTACCATTTTCAAACATCTGTCATGTAGAAAAAGGAAGAAACTGAGCTCTCCAAGGTATTGACTAAATGTGACCATTGACTAAATGTGACCATGACTAGGAAAAATAGGGGGGGTCTTCTTTTCTTTGTAACTGGCAAGGAATTCCTGGGTTCCAATGAGGTGGGATGAGGGGGCAAGGAAGTGAGTGGAGAGGAGAAAGGAATAGAAGCTAACTGTGCTTTTTTAAATCTTTGCTGCATCCATTCATGACATAAATTGGCTCCCTGCCCTCTCCACCTTCCAGATAAGAGTGAACTTACTCAACAAACACTTCCTGAGCTCAGCCGTGAGCTAGGTGATGTGATAGATAGAAGGTAATACCGTCTTGCCTTTGAGGAGCATACGGTGAACAAGACTGGTACATATGGAAAGCTAAACAATATAAGAACTAACACCATGAAGCCTATGCCAGGGTGGGAAGGGAGGGAAGGAATAAGCATTTATTAAGCACCTCCTATGTGCCAAGCATTGCACTAAGCAATTTACAAACATCTCTTTTGATAAGGTACCCAAGGAGTTGTACAGATAGTAAGCATTCCAGGAGCCCAGAGGAAGGAGCAACTCTGCTGGTCTGGGGTAGTCAAAGAAAGATCCATGAAGGAGGACAGACTCTGGCTTGAAAGCCTGGAAGACTGATAGAAGAGGACATAGATTCAGAAAGAGGATAGCAGACCCTGAAAACAAGTATAGAACTCTCGGATCCCAGAAGTCTTCATGGTCCTTCAAAAGACTCCCTGTGCCATAAATGCTTCAATACTTCAATGGAGCCAATATAAATATTCCATCACTGATGCAGACAGCAGCCCCTCCATACCCGCTCATCCTTGTCCATGTCTTTCTATAAATGCTCTGAGAGGATCCATCCAATGTATTGAAAGCCTTCCTCCATGACCTTTCAAATTTCCTAGATGTCAGAGCACCACTCAAATTATCTATCGAGCTCACTCCCTGCTACTGTATAACTAATCCATCTTGTTTTCCAGTCATGCATGTCCTTGATAATGCATTTTGCAGTCATCACAGATAGTGAGCAACACCCAACTCAGACTCAACCATGGATCTTTCCACTGTTCTTTGAGTCACCTGAGATTTTCATTCTTCTGAGATCATGGTGTCCTATGATTTCAGCAATAGAACATCACCAAGAGAATGTTGGTATTAGAAATCCAGGCTTTTATGGCAAGGTGCAACCTGTGATCATTGAAAATGCTGAATATCTTCCCCATGGTAATCCAGCTTCATTTCCCCTTCTTTAACTTTATCCAGCTCATTATCCATGGACTAACCCAAAGGGCTGCTCATCTATCTCCATGTTATAATCTGGCAATATGCATTCTTCTTCAAACTGGAGCCATTTTGTATTGTTATCATAGATCACCATGGCCAAGATAAAGAAAAAAGAACCATCCCCTACTGGGCAGCCCACTGGTGATGAGCTCTTCTATACAAAATTAGGCTGGTCCTTAAATAGCAGACATAGGCCTGTACCTGAAGCCTTTTCATCTTTGTAGAAACAGCCAGAACTTAGGCTCCACTGACATAACCTTCAGGGACATGGGGCCACCTTTGCACTAGGATGAAATCTCAGAGGATTTTTGTGCAGGTCCTCTGTGATCACGTTTATAAAAATAAAGGAATCACTTCCTTCTTCTAACCTAGCCAAGCAGCAGCCCCGGGTCAGAAAAGTGACATCATTGATTCTGTTCCCTTTTCAGATGAGATGAATGACCACCAGAATACACTGTCCTATGTCCTTATCAACCCTCCACCAGACACAAGGCTGGAACTGAATGACATCGTGTGAGTACAACAGAATCTTGCTCATGAGAGGAGGGATTGCCTGGGGAGAGGGGTGGGGAGTGGGGAGAGAAAGGGCTGTATTTGCCTATTATCATTGTAACCCATTCTCCCAAATCAGAATGAGGAATTTGTGTTCCCAGAATAAGTTCCTGAAGTGACATTATGGACACAGAATTATATCAACAGGCAGAACAAAGATGAAAACATAGTCTCTGCCCTTTGAGGGACTTATAGGCTAGTAAGGATACATTCTTCATTACTGAAAGAATGTGTGATATCATCAGTGTGAGCACTCACCCCACCAGTGCAGGCTGCATATCCTTCCTTCTATGCCTTCATCATTTAACAAATGGATATAGTGCCCAAAAATCACCCACCTGATGACCAACCTTCTAATAATGAGCTTCTCCAAACTTTTGTTATTATTGTTGTTTAGTCATTTTCAGTCATGTCCAACTCATTGTGACCCCATTTAGGGTTTTCTTGACAAAGATATTAGAGTGGTTTGCCATTTCCTTCTCTAGCTCATTTTATGTATAAGGAAACTAAGGCAAACAGGGTTAAGTGACTTGCCCAGGGTCACACAGCTAGTAAGTGTCTGAGGCCATATTTGAACTCAGGAAGATGAATCTTCCTGACCCCAGGACTGGCACTGTATCCACTGCACCATCTAGCTGCCCCCTTCCAAACTCAGCTAGGCTGGTTCTTGGACAATATATATACAGTATAGCTAGACCCATCCTCAAAACCTCTCCATTTGGTAGGCCCTGACAAGATTTTTTCTTTCATGTAGTCTTCAAAAACTCAAGGTCAAAAGAGGTGGAGGACCACATGAACAAAATGTTGCAGAGGCTGTTAGATGAGGCTGTTTCGTGTATCAGTTTTGCTTAACAGTTTTTCTTTCTTGCAAGGGAGTATTCAACTGGGAAAGGGGAAATATCAGAAAATAATAACTGGTATAAAAAACACAAGGCATTGATAAAACATTAAAATTCTTGTTTTGAGAACCTATGGTTATTTTATATCATATTACATTGTCAGAGGAAGAACACATAAAGCACAAGTCAGTGTGGTATCAATGAATGATGGGTAGATTAAGACCTTGGAGATGAGTTAATTCTTAATAATGACAAAGTGTGAGATATGGTCATATCAGTGAATGACTGAAGTAAAATGAAAAATGAGTCATTGAAGCTGAAGAGCTGGAGGAAGTATGAGGTCAAAGGGAAAGGCTTTTTGGGGGGGGGACTAGGCAGTGGGGTTGAGTGACTTGCACAGAATCACACAGCTAGTAAGTGTTGTGTGTCTGAGGCTCGATTTGAACTCAGGTCCTCCTGACTCCAGGGCCGGTGCTCTCTCCACTGCACCACTTAGCCACCACAGAGGGAAAGGATTTGAAACATGAAATTGTTAAAGATTGTGACAGGAGACAGCAAATCTAGGAGCCAGGTACCAAAATCAATGAGAAAAGTCTGAGGGTGGCCTAGTGGTTGGTAGACAACATCAACAAAGATAGGAGAGAGTGATAGTCATAGGTTGCATAAACTGAAAAGAAATGTTAGGTCCAGAAGAAGCCATGGAAGGTAAGAGCACGGTAACCCCTTCTGGCTATCAGAAACCAGGGAAATGGAAGAAGAAACAACTTAACTTTGCAAAAGATTGCAAGAATATGGTGATACTGGGGAGAGCTAGGTTCGCATTCGGATAAGATGGTAGAAAGAGTGGTCGATTCTAATCAGTTTAATTCACTGGACATTTAAGAGCCCACTATATGCAAGGCATGGTGCATAATACTGGATGTGCAAAAAATAAAAATGACATAGAACCAGCTGTTAGGAATCTTCCAGTTTAGGAATGAGTATGGCACCCACACAAATAAGCATAATACAAAGGAAGCCGTATCTGGACAAAATACTCTAGAAAAATTTGAGGGAGAGATCAAAGATGTATTGAGCACCTACTATGGGTGTATCATTGTGGTAGGCACTATGAGGGAGAAATAAAGGAGTAAAAGATACCCTGCCCTCAAGGACCTTACATTCTGGTTTGGGAAACAGGACATGAGAAATTAGGAATAGCACAAGAAGACAGTGCGTAGTCACGAACCATGCTATATGACATCGACCCCAAATACTGCAGAAGTTCAGAGAGGCTGGAGATCAAGGTTCAGGTGGAATGGTTGGGGAAAATTACTTAAGTTGGTTAGACTTGGCTAGAAGGAGAGGGGAAGGAAACAGCATGAACTAGGCTCACCATAGGCACTTAAATGCTTGCAAGCTTGAAGGAAAGGTGAGAAGAGAGAACATTATTATTACCCTAGGGTTGAAAGTAGACAATTGTTCCTCCTCTGCCTCTTTCCTTTCTAGGTATTTAATCCGATCAGACCCCTTAGCCCACGTCACCAATGACACACACAGTCGGAAAAGCAGCTGCAGTAATAAGTTGGAGCCATGCCACCCTGAGACACGAGATGAGACACAACTCTGAGATCTACGTTGGCTGCTGCCACCACCACTAATGCATGGAACTTCCCATCATCCAGGTTGGGGTTTGCCTTTGGTTTGACTTTCTGGAGACAGAAAAAAAAAAAACAGGCAAAGGGTGTAATTTCCAGTGGTGACCCATGGAACCTATGGAGTGCTGAGCTGCTCACCTGACTGAGGACTCCAGAGCTAACCTCCATGGAGGAAAAAACCATACTGCAGCCATTGTGGTGGAACCCCTCAGAAAGGAAGTTCCTTCACCTTCAAACCTCCAGGGTGAGACCTCACCTGCCTGGAACAGCCAGGAGCTGTTGAAGTTATTGTTTTTAACCTTTTTTTAACTTTTAAACATATATAATACATATATATCTACACATGTGTACCGCAACTAGTGAAACTATCCTTGCTGGAACAGAAGGGAGTGCCTCAGAATGATAACCTGGAGACAGCAAAATGTGCAAAGCACAGTTTGTTCAAACAATCAACTAAAGAACTATGCATAGGGTGAACCTCAGGGAGAGAGAAAGGGAGGTTATATCAGGTGAGAAGAAATTGAAGTTGTGGTCTTGGAACCATTCACACTGTCCTGATATGCCACCTGTCTCTAACACAAGAAAGTGAGAGTTGAGGGGCTGGGAGGGGAGGGGGTGGGAAAAGAGTCAGATATTAGAAAACAAGCACTTTGAAGTATAATTCTAATTGACATTGGCCAGAGAAAATGCTTGGTCTCTCCTAAAAACACAGGAAAGGAAAGATTCAAGATGTGGTCACAACAGGCTAAAAGATACAACAATTCAAGTAGGTACAATAGGTCAGGTGAGCTGCCTGGTTCAGAAACCTTGACACTGTAGCATATATACATATATATATACACACATATATATATCAAGGGGCATTCACGGCTCTATTAATTACTTGGAAAGGAGGGTGGGGGGCCCAGTGGTTAAGGGACAAGACTTTTAAGACCTAAGGGAAGCTGGGTTGGATTCTATCATTCTCTCCTATTCCTATCCTCTAAAGTTACAACTGATATCTCACCTATGACTCCTCAGCCCTAAGGAAGTGATTCTATCTTCCCACAGTATATGGGACTGACTTGTTAGAGATGGAGTAGTGATCGTAATAAGGAGAACAGGAACTGATCATCTACCCCTAGGGAAGTGTCACTAAAGTCCTAGAAGGCTTCATCTCTTCTCTCTCCTCTTTCTAACTGATTCAATCAGTCAGTACTTAATGGGCACTTTCTTAGTATAAGGATCTATGTTAGATGTAGAGATGAGTAAGACATGTTCCCCGCCCTCAGGAAGTACACAGTCTAATTAGGGGAGTCATGTCAAAATCCTTTTCTCCTACCTTCGCAGAATATCAGAGCAGGCAGGGACTTGACAGACCAATTAGTCTTATCCAAACCTGATCAAGAATCCCTTCTACCACATTCCCAGCCAATCATCATCCAGCCCTCACTTGAAGATTTCTCATGAGGTCCTCTCAAAGCATCTCACTCCTCTTGTGTATGCCTCTATTCCTTTCTTTTTTTTCCTCCCCATCCCCTGTTTCCCTAGTCCTGTCAATGGCCTCCTCTCAAACCTACCTCCATTCTACTTCAAACTAACAAAGTTAGTGCCCCCTAGCATACATATTTATGGAAGAAGTGCAAAATCTTTTGAATCTGGATTAAGAGGAAAAGGATGTAGGCATCTGTGGAAGGCATTATATTCTAATGGCACTGGGGAGATGCCCCCAGTATATCAGGATAGAGAACAAAACCCACCCCTTCTTTGGAAGGAATTTGATTCACCAGACCCAGGAATTTATCATACTTTTGACCTCTCTGTTGTGAGAGCTGGCAAGTCGTAGCCAATTGTATATATTTTCAATATGGAAAACGGGGTGAAATGCCGAGTATTGACCTTCTAGAGAGATGAGGCAAATAGGAAGGAGGAACCAGCCTCTGAAGGGCCTTCTAGTTCTCAGATTCTAGGAGGAAGCATGATGACTGACACTTAGGGTTAGCTGGGTTAATGTCATTTCATGGGAAAAGAAACCAAAGTTACATATTTTGTGTGACTGTTAAACGCATTGGATTTTTAAGGTCTTGAGTCTTTCTTAGGATGCCCAGAAGCCAGATGAATGGGTGAGATGAATTTAAACCCTGTATTAAAACAAAGAAAAAGAGGGGAAAATAGTATAAAGCACAATTTTCACCCCAGAACTGCTTGATGATTTCAAACTGTTGAGAAAATTTTCCATTTAAATATGAGAGGACTGGGATTCTGAGTGACTATTCATTTTCAGGAATTCCTGAGATCCACACAGGGAATAAATGTTTTATCAGGCATGTTGCTGGTTTTAAGGTCAGTGTTGGATCCTTTTCATTACATTGATATGTACTATTAACCTACTTGTGTTAAGCTACATTCCAGTTCTTCAAAGTAAAATTTTAGTCCTGGAACAAAGTAATTCTTGGAGAGCTGGTCACAAGCATTCCTTGAGAGACTTACATTCCTAGACTTCTTTGACCCCAATCCTCATGGTACCTCAACCCCAATCCCAAAAATAAGGTTGTTTGCTGTTTTCCTTGACAAGGAATTGCACCAGTGCTGTTGTTTGCCTTGGGCTAGGTCAGGGTCATTTCCCTAGGTCATGTTTCAGGATGTACTCTTTTGAGTCTGGGGTGGTGGCTAGAGGAGCAGGCTCATGAAGACATGTAAAGACAGTGCTCATATACTGACCAGGTCAATTGGAAGCATAAGAACTTGGGTCAGGTCATGATGAAGTACAATTCCAGGTCCCTCGAGCTTGTTCAGAGTGGTATGGCTATCTCTTGTAAATTTCCTCTCCCCCAATTCACCTCTGCTGCCTAGTTCTGATTCTGATCCTGTGGATTTTTAAAAATAAAAAGTATATATTTTATACATATTTATGTACATATCAGACATAGATAAACTTTGCTGCTAAGTGGACCTCCTGTATCAGGAGTCCTCAGGAAGGAAGCCTTGAGGCAGAAATTAAGACTCAGATTTGTAAGAAAATGGTCATGTTCACAAGTAGCTGCCTTTCTGAAGTATAGATGTCTCTAAATACTTATCAAAAAAAACCTAAAGAGAAAACTGGCTCCTCTCTATTATAATTGTCAATTTCCCATGTTTGTAGTCAAAATTAGGGGTTGTCCACCCCTCATTTCTGTTATCACCTGTGTGGGCCAGTTAATCTCTTGTATACTCTGAAGGGCGGGACAGCAGAGTCCTGGGTAGTGGTAACAGTCAGCAAGCTGAAGAAAAGTGGATTTAGTCCCTGTGGGACTTACTGGAAGGGTACAGAAGTGGCAGCTTCATCACTGGGAGACCCCTAAGGTCTTTACTAGTGGTCCTTCTAGCATTCTTTATTCCCCCATACACTTTCATTGTCTCAGTCAACAATCTCTTTAGCACCTAAGAACCATGTGATTCCAAGCACCATGGGGAAGCACAAGCATAGGACACAGAGCCTATTTAGGGTCTGGACCTGTGATTTCAGTGAAATAAGGAACTCCCAGATGAGAACAGTCCTTCTACCAATATAAGTCACCACCTTCCCTGAAAATGAAAAATCTTAAAAAGCTGTCCAGAGCACTGAGAAGTTGTAATTTGCCAGGGTCTTACAGTCAACATGTTCCAGAAGCATCCATGACTTGAATCAGGGAAATGCATAAGCAGAGAACAGCAAGAAATGTGTTCATAGAAAAGAAAAGATAACCAACAAAGCCAAGAAGTATAGAATTGCTCCCAAAGGAGGAGTTCAACGAATGAGTGCCATGGAGTTCAGAAGGGAAGGGGAGGGAGGCTGAAGCCATGAGAGAACGGCTTCACAAAGGTGAGACTTGACCTGGATCTTTGAAAGGCACAGGATTTGATGGGTGGAGAGGAGGAGGAAGAGCCTCTTCAGTTGGGTTTTAGAAAGATGTATATGATTCAGACTGTTGGAGAGAAAAGACAAAGACAGGAACAAAGGCTTAGCAGCAGAGAGGAGCCTGGATGAACTGGAGTATTCCTGTTGGAGGGCAGTAATGTGTCTGGAATTCTGGGGACCTTTAAGATGATGAAGACTTTCTTTTTTAATACTTGCTGGAAGGCCTGCTCTTTAGGCTACTGGAATAAGCCATAGATTGTAAATCTGCTTTTCTCCTAGATTATCTCCTTCTGTATTATTTCCCTTGGGCATTTCCAGGTTTTCCCCTTGCCAAATCATCCACCTGTATGCAAGAACTAAAGAGTAAAAGATCCTTGCCTCTTACACTCACCACTATGCGCTAAGTTCCCTATTTCTCATTGCCTTCCCTTCCATCTTTCCTTCTTCAGAAAGGGAATAATGGTGGTTAGTTTTTCCCCAGTAGGTAGGAGGATTAATTCTGCTCTCCCAATCCCCCGACTCCAAATAAACACTTGAAAATAGACTGATTATCTGGAATAGAGAGAGTATCTCCTTTAGGGCAGAGGCAACCAGCTTACTTCCCTCCCTCCAAATGTGGGAACCAAGTCATTCCCACCTTAAAGCCAATATGATGCTTTGCGGTGGAGCCATAGGTCACTCTGCACAAAGACTAAACTGAAATTCTTTTCAAAGGCATGTTCATACCTCAAAACATTTCAGAGCAGGTGTAAATCAATGGAAAGGCCACTTCCTGAAAGCCAAGCCACAGGACTTTCTCAAGAGTACGTGGATTTCACCAGGGTGTATCCCATATGAAAGGTAAATGGATGGCTTACTTCCTGGCAATGCTGCCCCAAGAGTGAGGAGATCCTCTGTCTCTAAGTGCCACTCAGTGTTACCCCATTTGGCCCCTTAGGAAACTATTTTTACAAAGAGCATTTTACATTTTCAGATCACTGGAGAGGTGTCATTATTAAGTGCCTGAAATTACTGCCAGGGTTATACTTGTGAGTTTGATTATTTTCAGGACCCCTTCTTCTCCACACCCAGAATCATAATTCCTCTGGGCCTTAGTTTCCTCATCATAAAATAGTAAGTGTCCAGCTTGATGATTAATGAGATATATTAGCTCTAAATCTTATGATCAGATG